CGATCAGTTACATGACCAAGTGACGCGTGCCTGGACATCTGCGCATAAGTCCTTCCTCACACATGCGTTCGAGTACTTCTTTAGCACGCAACAAAGAACAAGTAGCAAAGCATCTGAGTTGAACTGGCGGGTGGAGTTCAAATAGAAAGTTTGAGGAGTCATTAGCGTGTGTTGAAACATGTTATCTGTCCGTCAGATTACGGTCAGCAATGATTCTCCCTCCATGTCTCATTGTACTGTGCTCCACTTTATCAGGTCGTCCCATGTACTCCACGCGCCGTGCGTTGAGGCTGAGCGATCTGTTTCAATGTAACCTAATCGAGCTGTTGTACAATCTATTTCAGAGTAGTCTATTTGAGGCTGTCGCACAAATCTGTTTCAGTGTGACCTAATCGGAGCTGTTGTACAATCTGTTTGAGAGTAGCCTATTTGAGGCTGTCGTACAATCTGTTTCAGTTGTAACCTAATCGGAGCTGTCGTACAATCTGTTTCAGAGTAGCCCATTTGAGACTGTCGCACAATCTGTTTCAAGTGTAACCTAATCGGAGCTGTCGTACAATCTGTATCAGAGTAGCCTATTCGCAGCTGTCGCACAATCTGTTTCAGTGTAACCTATTCGAAGCTGTCGTACAAGAGCGCTCCGAATGTGGTCGGGAGGTCACCCGGGCAAGTACCGCGAGGCGCGTCACCGCTTCCTGCAGAGTCTGAATACGCACGAGCCGCGTACACCCGTCCCGAGTGCGGCGCACCCGGGAGATCACCGACCAGGTCCAGATGGCACTTGACATCAGGTCGGGCCGGTACGGCTGTGGTGGGGCCACCGAGGGTCAGGTCGGCCGGGACGGTAGTGGTGGGGCCACCGTAGGTCAGGTCGGGCCGGTACGTGCTGTGGTGGGTCCACCGGGGTCAGGTCGGCCGGGACGGGTAGTGGTGGGGCCACCGAGGTCAGGTCGGCCGGTACGGCTGTGGTGGGGCCACCGAGGTCAGACCGCCGGGACGGCTGTGGTGGGGCCACCGAGGCGGTCGGCCGGCCACGGCTGTGGTGGGGCCACCGAGGTCAGACCGGCCGGGACGGCTGTGGTGGGTCCACCGAGGTCAGGGTCGGCCGGGACAACTGTGGTGGGGCCACCGAGGTCTGGTCGGCCGGTACGGCTGTGGTGGGTCCACCGAGGTCAGGTCGGCCGGTACGGCTGTGGTGGGTCCACCCATCCGTGGATCACAGGTCCGGTCACGTACCGTGGTCTTACTGCAGAGTAACAACTGAGTAGGGCGCTACACATTGGTCTTGCATCTTGCACCCAGCGCAAGGCGAGCTGGTGCTTAGTGCCTCGCGTGTGCGTTCAAAGAACATTTGAACTGGGTACCTCCCATGTTGACCCACTGAAATGCAGTAATGCATGGATTCCGCTCTGTGCAGCTCAAAATATATCGGATCACGGTTTGGATCATGAAAATCCTGAAACGTTTCGATCGTTTAATGCTGGTAGTCGGGAGCGTACCGTTTCAAGAAAGTCACGTCGGGCAGCCCGGATTTTGCTAGAGGTCGGAGTGCATAGGATTACATTGCTCACTTTGGTAAGCCTGGACTCTGGAGCTCACTTGTTTACAGTGTTCATTGTGAGCAGCTGGGCACGCAACAGTGCGAGATGTCTGCTATGGAAATAGAATTGCGCGCACACGATAACGCAGCTTGGTGTGTTTGTTCGCCACAGCTAACGCGTCATTGTTCCACCAGGTGACGCTGGCACTCCAGGGACTGAAGGATAGTTTGGACAATTCCTTTCAAAGAGTGCAGAAGACGGTCGCCCGTTTTGACGAGATCTTTCTGGTATGTGGTCCTGACTTTCACAGCAGAAACGCTCCTTTCCAAAGGTCGATGCTGAGGAGTGTGGGGTAGGGAACGCGTTGAGACGATGCTTAGCATCCTAAGTCCGTCCGAATCCTCGATTTCGTGCGATTCTCTGTCGAGTCTGTTCCATACCACGACGGTCAACAGCCTTTGCGTGCATGCTGGGATGTTAGAAGCCATCCGCCAAGAATTGCATTGTTGCGATTGCGAGAGCTGCGGCGGTTGAAAACGAACTAAATCCGAGTATCTTATTTATATGCGCTTCCGAGATCATATTCATGATAGTGAGGTCATTCAGTCGTGGGCGTTTGCTTCCCTGTGCACTGTCCCGTGTTTCAGGGCCTGGACCACCAGGTGCAGGTACTGGTCCAGGTAACACGCATCTTGAAGGCCGCCTACCAGACGTACATCGTGGATGAGTCGGTGGATCCCTGCTCGCGGCTTGTGGACATGGGCACCATAAGCCTGGTGGCTATCGGAAAATATGAGATCCGTGAGTTAATATATACGACACGCGATGAATGGTGCAATGGAAAACGTGTGGTGTGTAATATATATATATATATATATATATATATATATATATATATATATATATATATATATATATATATATATATATATATATGTCATTTCCGCAATGGACATCTCAGTTTCCTTTGAACCTGCATTTGCCTCCCATATATCATATAACCCATGTTATTTCTGATCCTTCTATGGATTAAATCCTACGCCACATATCCCCTATTCTCTCTGAGCCTCCTATGTATCCAATATATCCTCTCTTCTCTCTCTCTCTCAGAGCCTGCCATATATCCCATCCATTTTTGATAAGATTATGTCACGATTGTGTCACGGTGATGCTACTTCCCTATGGATGTTTCCCTGGAGCTCGCTAAATTTCAGTACACCTTTTCAATAACACTCAGAATATTTTCAGATAAAGTCACTATTTCGGGCGCCACGTCCTTGTATCAAACGTTTTTATGCATACACCGCACAATGGGCAAAAATCACATCTGAGGGCATACGAACTAGTAGAGTCCCGAGATCCATGTGCCGGACAACGAACACGCTACATCCCGTCCGTAGCCCGCTCTGTGTGCCGGACAATGAACAAACTGCACTCGTCCACAACCCACTCGGTGTGCCGAACAACGAACACACTGCACCCGTCCTTAACCCCGTGTACTGGACAACGAACACACTGCACCCGTCCGTAACCCGCTCTGTGTGCCGGACAACGAATACACTGCACCCGCCCGTAACCCACTCTGTGTGCCGGACAACGAACACAGTGCATCCCGTGTGTAACCCTTTATGTGTGCCGGATAACGAACATACTGCACCCGTCCGTAACCCCCGTGTGCTGGACAACGAATACACTGCACCCACCCGTAACCCGCTCTGTGTGCCGGACAACGAACACACTGCACCCGTCCGTAACCCGCTCTGTGTGCCGGACAACGAACACACTGCACGCGTCCGTAAACCCCGTGTGCCGGACAACGAACACACTGCACCCGTCCGTAACCCGCTCCGCGTGCCGGCCAGCGCGGGCGGCGTCGGACCTGACGGCAGCGGGCGCCGGCGCGTGGGGCCGACTGCAGGCGGCGGCGCTCCGCTCGGCCGTCGGCCCTCTCAGAGCGCGGCTGGCCTTCGGTCGCGGTCTGCTGCATCAGATGAGCGGCTGTCTGCACGGTGAGCGCCGCTCATGCACGCTGGATGTTTGGCAGGCCCTTGCCACATCGGTGGGGATACACGCTCAAAACGCAGATGAACATGCGTGACCGGTAGGCTGCTATTAGCTTGCATGTTCAGACCCGCTCGGGTTCCAAACAATGCGTGCCCGGTATCTGCGCGTAGCCTGCCGGTATTCCTACCTGCCAAACCGTGCAGCTCGGGCAGGTAGGAGATTGGCAATTCGAGACCCTCGTACTGAAGATTCAGTTTTGCAATATCCCAATAGATTAAGATTGAGGTGACGAATCTATTGCATGGGTTTCAGAGCGCAGGTAATTTTAATTGTACCGTTATGTCATGATGTTTGCTTTGTTTTCACAGATGTAAGCGCAATGAGTGAATGTTGTGAGAGTCGCACGTATCGTTACTTCTTTCTTTAATTTCCTGACTGATCTGTATACTCGAACAGAAATATCTGAACCCTGAAAGTCAGGATTGCAAGTACCTGCATTGATGAGTCTCTTCAGCCTTGGGGTGGTGGTGTCGTCCTCAAGAACAAACCAGCCCGATCATTTTAAATAATTTTGCGGACATGAATAAACAAGGAAAATATCAGGTATCCCTAGGATGGCTAGTGGGTGCCTAAAAATGAGTTGCAGAGGAGTTGCAGTTGCGGATCATATAAGAATTGTACTTCGACGTTGTTGCATGTTCGGAAAAGTATCAACCAAACACCTCAGTTCTTCCGACGAGAGATTATTTGTTCGTGTTGTTTTCGAATGAGAACATGAATTCGACCGTAATTAATTTTCGACACAGCATGGAAATAAGCCAAAGCGCAGTTGGCGTCATTACAAGGGCGTAGACGTCGTCCACCGTGCTATGTAGTTACACTAAACCTCCTCCAAAACTGAAGCTTCAATAGCTATTGATAAACTGCCACCAATGGTTTCCTCAGTGATTCTTTTTTGGTCGAGTTCAAAATGAGCCGCTGAAAAGCCCACCACAAATCAACAACAGAAGTTGAAAGGTAAGATATGTCGGATGTTAACGTCCGGCGATTTTCATACAAAGGTCCAAATATTTTGGACACTCGATTTTTTGAGTCTCTTGTACACCATCTGTTTATCCAAACCTCAAACCGGCATTGTAATCGAAATCCACTCACCGCAGGATGTAAATACTAAATTACAGCGAATCCTCACTTCCATTGGGCAAACAACTGGTAGCATCCAACGGCTCGATGTCAAGTGGGCTGTTGTGATGTCCTTGGCTATGTTTTTCCATGGATACACGTGTAAACACACGCTTCAGGAGCTGGGCATTTATTTAATGTCATCCCAAATGCGGTACATCATGCACCAAACCGACACTGCAAGAATGGCGACTTTACTTGCGACGCAAGCCAATGCGCCCGAAAGTCGCGCTGAAACAAACGCTGTGCGCAAACACCAAGCTGACGGTTCTTCTAAGAGCAGTAGGTGCCGTCAGCGGTGTTGGTCTGGATCCAGGACAGCACCTCGGTGACTCGGGCGTAGACGCCCGGGTAGCCGGGCAGAGCACATCCCCGACCCCACGAGACGACGCCGATGAGGGAGTAGCGGTCGGACTCGAGGCTGACCATCGGGCCACCGCTGTCGCCCTGGCACGAGTCCTTGCCGCCCTCACTGAGACCGGCACAGATCATGGACGGGTTGATGCTGCTGTATGACGACCTGCAGGCGGTGTTGGAGATGACGGGCACGGTGACCTCCCTCAGAGTGGTGGCCTGTGAGCCACCCGAGCTGGTGGTACCCCAGCCGGTGACGATTGCGTCGGCGCCGACAAAGTCGTTACCGGCGGTGGGCAGGCACACTGGCGCCAGCGAGTTGTCACTTGGGAAAGTGATGGGGTTGGTCAGCTTCAGCAGCGAGAAGTCGTAGCCGGAGCCGGACGCGGACGAGTAGCTCGGGTGGTTGATGATCTGCTGCACACTGGCGCGAATCTCACCATCGCTGTTGCTGATGCGATGCTCCTTGAGAAGCACCTCGATCTGGCTGGGTGACGATCCGGACGTGCAGTGGGCCGCCGTCATCACGTAGCGGTTGTTGAGGACACTGCCGCCGCACCAGGTGCGGGTGCCGCCGGCGCTGACCAGGCCCGCCTGCCAAGGATACTCACGCACCTCGGTCTCCACGCCGCCGACGATGCGGGAGGAGCGGTTCGGAACTCCGCAACAGCAGGAACCTGAAGGAGCAGCCGTAGTGGTAACCTGTGTTTCAGTCACCTCCAGTTGGCAGAGGAAGCCGCTCCTCACCACCGAGTAGTCCGAGTGCCAGTCGACGGTCATCGTAGACACCGAGGTTACGGCGCTGGGGCCTGATGTACCACAGAACTTCTGACCGTTCACGGACAGCCAGTCCCAGGAGCAAGACGAGTGCCGTTCCACGTTAAACGCAGAGCAAGACATGGAGATGGTATCACCTGCGTTCTCCGCTGTCAGCTGGTAGTTACAGTCCTCGTTGATGGGATAATTGTTCGGATGGTTGGTGGACTTGATGGTGTAAGTGGTGTCGCGTACCAAGGTGCTGCCACCACACGTAAGCTCTGAGCCACCGCCACCGCCGCCACCGCCGCCGCCGCCGCCGCCGGCGACCGTCAGCGTGCACTGGAAGCCCGGTCTTACTACGCTGTAGTCGCTGTGGAAGGAGATGTCGAAGGCCTGGGCTGTGGATGCCGTAGGTCCCGAGGTACCGCAAAACTTCTCGCCGTTCACCTCCAGCCAGTCCCACGCGCACGAGCTGTGCTGCTCCAAATTAAAGCTGCTGCAGGCCAAGGTGATATCGCTGTCACTGGACAAAACATAGTCGCAATCGACGTAATTTGGGTAGTTTGATGGATGATTGGGAGACTCGATTGTGTACTCGCCTTCTGTCAGCACGTGAGTTCCACAGTCAAGGTTTGTTGCGCGTGGCTGGATGGAAGGAAGCGAGTCGTCGCGGTCGGAGGGAGGCGGTTTCCAGTCGCCCTTATCGGAGGGAGGCGGTTTCCAGTCGCCCTTATCGGATGGAGGTGGTTTCCAGTCGTCCTGACGCACTGGCCCCGGGGCCGACCAGGCCGAGGAGCAGAGGACCAGAATCAGTGCGAATGTCTTCATCGTGGTGGCCGTATGCTGCTGTGAGAGACCCGTCGTCTTTTATACCAGGAGACGATGATCTGCACCTCCGGCCCGCACAACGGCAGCGAACACCTGCAGCGATGTTGCCAGTCACTGATGCGGGGGAGAAAATCGTGTCTTTGTTTCCTTAGAGGCTCTGTCAACAGAATATCGACCGGTTATCTTGTATGCAAGCACCTGTTGACGTAGGCCTCTTCGAGAAGGTGCGTGCTCTCTCTCTCCTGTGCCGGCGAATGACATTTCATGTGCCAGACATGCTGTCTCTCCTGTGCCAGACATACGGCCTTTCCTGTGCCAGATATGCTGCCTCTCCTGTGTCAGACATACGGCCTTTCTTGTGCCAGATATGCTGCCTGTCCTGTACCCAATGCGTGCCGAATGTGCACCCACTCTAGTGCTGGATGCCCGTGCCCGGATTAGACACGCGGCCTCTCCTATACCGGGCACGCGGCCTCTCCTATGTCGGACACACGGCCCCTCCTGTGGCGGGAGCACGGCCGCCCTAGTACTGGACGGCTGCTCCTGTATCGGGCGTGAGTCCTCTCATGTTCCGGCACGCGGCCGCACCAGTGCCGAATATGCGGCCTCTCCTGTGCCCGACGGCCGCTCCTGGTGACATGCGCGGTCTCTGCTGTGTCGGACATTCCACCGCTCTAGTGCCGGACGTGCGACAGTCCCAGTGAAACAGTGACCCTCCAGTGAAACAGTGACCCTCCAGTGAGACAGTGATCCTCCAGTGAGCGGCTCACCGCCGCTTCAGTGAGGTACTGGCGCCGCACGCTCAGTTTTGATGAAGATCATTATAATGACAAAATGCGGGTGAATGAAACAAGTATTTCATGCCTTGCTCTATTTTTTACGAGTTTATGATATGTAGCCATTAGGTCCAAGGTACATATGGTATGGACGCTACCTAAATGCCGCTTTAAAAAGTCGCAGCTTTGGTTCATGAGCGACGCTGGAATCAGAATTGCTGCTTAACACTACACAAAGTCGTCACATGACGAAATAGTTGCACCGTCCGAAATGCGAAATGATCAAGCAGCCTCACCAAGCACGGCTTGTTACGAGGCACTGGTCCGCCATCCATGTAACCCAGAGCATGAAAAAGGTTTTCCAGTGTCTGATTTCTGGTGGGTAGTTCTGAATTGGAAGTACAAGTTTTCCATACGCAGATTGTAAATACTAGAAATATGCCTTTTGAGCACTATGTAAAACGATGGACTTTGTTTCAGACACTGCAGTTAAAGACATGGACCATAGCTGTGATACGAAGCAAGAAATTATCCACCTTGGCAATGCAGTTTGTAACATCAAAAAGAGTGAAAAAGTGATAGCAGAGTGATGGGGAGGGATTTTTTGGACGCATTAACCCCGCAAGAGCTCTTTCTCCCGCATTGATATAGCCCCAATACGCTGCGAGACAATGCAGGGGCGGGAGGGAGTTTGCAACGTGTCAGTTATGGTTAAGATGTGGCTGCTGACCAAACCTGTTTTTGACTTTTTGCTTTCATGCGACGTTTTATATTTTAATCGAATCAACTTGCTCACCGACTTTAGTCCGTTGCGCTGGCCACTCATGCACTAAGGCGTACGCTTTAACCAGCTCAACCTTTGGCATGGCCAGTGACACTTTAGTGCAAATGATAGTTCCGAAACGAAAACATTATTTTTTCGCTTTTGAAGCTATATTGCAGCGGTTTTTGATAGCCTGGTTCCAGGTGTCAATTTAGACTGTTCCCAATTTCGTCGGTGACAGAAAAAAACACCTTTTCACATTTGCCCTTGAATCAAAATCAGTTGATTGGCGTCAATTGTTCAAAAGAGTTATGATTTGAATGACGTAAAACTGAGACTTGATATTATTATTGAACAGACAAAAACGCAAATATTCTGTTATATATCTCAATCAGCAAAACAAAAGGAAGGACAGACGTTTCACCGCCACGCCTTCCTAAGCGCCATCTTTTCAAACAAAAACATTTTAAAGACCATCAAATTTCTATGATGTGAGGCGTTGTGGCTGTAAACGATGCTTCCCTACGCTACAGGAACGGCATACGAATGATAACATGGTATGCGATGAGTGCACATGACCTCGAAGACGAATATAGCACACAGGGTAGACACCAGAACGGTGGGGGATGCACAGGCTACCTAGATAAAACGGGTGTTTAGGTCTAGTTTGTGATGACCAATGACGGTTTATTGGGCGTTTTTTAGCGCAGCGACATTTCCGCAGTTAGATGACAATTTTGAGAGTAAGTATTTTTCTGTTAGATAGATTTGGTTGGATATCTTTTTGGGATATGATTACCCGGTGGAGATCCATAAACTTCGATTTTTGTTTTGCGGAGGTGCTCATTGTATCTGGTTCGCACAAGGCGTGTTGTCTCCCCGATGTAGGAGGAACTATAACCAGGAGTACATATTTGACATGTGATCTGACAGATGGCGTTGCGCGTTGTGCACCCGCCCCAGAGTTCTATGATTGGAAGGGTGTGTAGGAAGGCGAAAGCTCCATTGTAATCTGATCAGTTGGTCGTGAAGCTGATGACTATATGAAAGCAATCAACATAATTAAGATAGGCGCCTAGGGCTGCCGGTCCGTGCGTCGACATACCGCGATAAAATGTCACTTATACACCACATAACGCGCTGGTTGTAGAGCCTGCTTGAGTGGACCGAGAAACAACGATTCGGTTGCATTCATAGAATTGATGGCGAGTGGTCAGGATTCCCATAGTTATCTCGCTCGTTTGATCATAGTAAATTTGCCGAAATCTGACGAAATCATTTTGTAGGACATGGGAAAACAGGGTTTGGCGTCATCGATCGTTACGCCAAACCTTTGAACATGATCAGCATGCTTCTGGAAAAGCTCTATACATGCACCCATGACCTCATTTAGAGGTCTATTTCAATAGAGATTTGCGACGTCCATGCTGAAAGCAATAGACGGTGGCAGGAACCCACATGAGAGCATACCCAGCTTGCCAATATATTCGGAAGTGTTGCTGAGGTTTGCTTTGGTTTGTTTTACCGGCTAGGTTTGTTGTGTTGCTGAGGAATTTTTGCAGCTTGTGTTACCCGCACCGTACTACTGTCCACCCAGCGTGTTTTGTTTGTATCGGAGGTTATTTGCCTAGTATGCACTCATCACCCGCCATGTCATCGTTCGTGTGTCGCTTCTGTGGCGTAGAGAAGCCTTTTTCAGAGTTTAAACGTTTTTGCAATCAGATTTTCCTGCGCGTAAAAACACGCTTTCTAGTTTGAGATTGCTTATATGAAAAATGGCATTGAGGAAACAACAGCGGTGAGTCGTCTCTTATGTTTTACCCTATGTAATGCATATAATGATACTCATTCTTAATGTTCCTTCTGTAATCAAGAAATGGGCTGTTACTGAGTGCCAAAGTGGGTACGTTATAGTTATCGCTACTAAAGTTTTGCGTATTTTCGACGTCTTGGCCTCTGTGCCGCCTGTTTTCAATCGTTTCCACAACTTATACGAAGAATGTCCAGTTCCACTTACAAATTCTCTGTCTCCCTGCCACAGTCTAAGTATACTTCCCTCTCGGGCGTGCTGAAACCGACACCGCTATTGGACGAGCGTTGGTTCATGTCGTGGATTGTCACGAAGCGTGAACCTGTCGAATGTTACGACTGCACGACAATCCTCGCAACTGGCTGTGCTGTGCGCGTGGCTACAAATGTGCATACATAGACGAGCGCGGGCTTCTATTTAGCTTTGATAAGTGACGCCAGAGTCAACAAATTCATTCGCGAGTTGAGACTGTGGTAGAGGCATTGTTAAGCTATCACCAGGTGCTGCAGGTGGAACAACTATAGAAAAACAACAGAATGGCCAGCTTTTTAGAAAACAGGTTCAATTGGTTTGCGAAAATGGCAAAGTACAGGCAGGCTGGCTGGCGGCCGCAGAGTAGCTTGGCGCATTTTTATGCGGTCCCCGCGTTGGCAGCACCCGGCGTCTGGCTTACAACAGGGGTGTGGGGGGTGGGTATTCTGGGAGGACGGGCTGCCTGGAACAAGTCCCGTGTTTCTGTACCTTTATCACTCGTATTCAGGTCACCTGCGTGCACCTAAATGCTCGTAATTCGGGGCTTGAGTGAAATATTTGAGTCATCTGCGCGGTGATCGAATATCTTCATCATACGCATTGGAGGCGATGCTATTAACTTCTGATGCCGATGTGATATGGGTGCAGGCCGGCCCCGCATTCACCGCCCGGCCCTCCTGCGGGGAGAAGTGGGCCGTGCAGCCGGGCGGGGTATGGGGGACCGACCCTCCCATACCGGCGTACCGGGTCGGCCGCCTGTGCCGGGCCGGCCGCCTGTGCCGGGTCGGGCGCCCGTGCCGGGTCGGCCGCCTGTGCCGGGTCTGCCACCTGTGCCGGGCCGGCCGCCTGTGCCGGGTCGGCCGCCTGTGCCGGGCTGGCCGCCTGTGCCGGGCCGGCCGCCTGTGCCAGGTCGGCCGCCTGTGCCAGGCCGGCCGCCTGTGCCGGGCCGACCGCCTGTGCCGGGCCGGCCGCCTGTGCCGGGTCGGCCGCCTGTGCCGGGCCGTCCGCCTGTGTCCGCGGCTGGTAGGCGCCGCCGTGAGCCGCCCCATGAAAGTGATGATGTGGTTTTATGCGAGGCGACACCCACGACGGGCTTACCTCTGCTTACTTTTATTGGTTTATCTATATCACAAGTAAGCTGAAGCTCCAGCGGAGAGATAAATATATCTTGCGCCTCATTGTAAAGCTTTTGTAGCTATTACAGCTTATCCGACCTTTTGACCTGGTCAAGGGTTGTCTGGCGAAGGTGACCGAATCACGTTTTCCATCGATATAAACCCATGAGTGGTGCACTTAATATCAGTTGAAGGGCACGTTGTTTCTTACTAGACAACCTTAAAGAACATCAAGATCTACCTAAACCGATTATTTGTTCTGAAAGTATGGTGGTGGTTGTGACATAGATATGATACAAGTATGATCATGTTGACCTGTTGTAGCCGCTGCGGCACTGCATGCGGCTTGGGGCCGCCGCTCACGCCGGCTCTCGCTGTCCAGCAGACATGTACAACCGATCGAGCGGCTCGTACCCGGCCAAATACGGCGTGATCCGACGTCTGCCAGAGTACGCGGCGATCATGGCGCGCATCGATCAGCGCCACGCGTCAGCAGAGTCCGCGCTCAGCGCCGTCGACGCCGCGCTGCTGGCGCTGGAGGCGGCGCTGCCGGTGACGGCCTGGCCGGCGGCCGAGCGTCTGGCGCAGCTGGGGCCGGCGCTGGCGGCGGCCGCCGAGCGCGGCGCCGACGCCTGCGGCCGTCTTTCGGCGCTGCTGCGTCATCAGTACATCGTCAGCGCCGTCCAGGGGCAGCTGGAGCGGGCCGTCAACACGCTCAACAACGAGGTGGCCGGCCGCCAGCAGGAGTTCAGCCACATCATCGACCTGGCGGTGCGGGCGGGTGGCCGCGGGTGACCGGGCGGCGCCGGAGCTTCGGTGACGTCATAGCTGCCATATCGGCGGCGACGATTAGACTCAGATTGGCATACGGCTGCTGGACGGCTTTTAGTCTCTCTGTCTCTCCCTTCCCATGAGTTATGAATGCACCTTGGTAAGACAGTAGTAATAGCTTTATTCCTCGGCGAAAAAAAACGGTAGGCGGAGGTCCCGCTGTCTTATCTACGTGAATAACGCTCCATGCAAATGCACTTAACAACCTCCGTAATTGTGAATGCACCTTTCAGCAGGTTGCCCAGTGGTATGTACGCTGCCTCTGGTTCAGGTTGCCCAGTGGTACGTACGCTGCCTCTGGTTCAGGCCTTGCAACGCTGCTTTTGTAAATCATGCAGTATTAAGTGCTATATGCATAACACAACCGGTAACAGCAATTAATCGTCCGCAGTTTTCAAGGTCCCCGCTGTTTTTCGTTCAGCCGTGACATTCTGCCGCGCCTCTGAATGACCCTTCACCTGTGTATATCCCTCAGGAAACGCTGAACAAGACACAGAATGACGTTAAACTGGTCACCGATTTGCTGGAGAATGCCTTCGTGCAGTACTGGAATGACAACTCCACTAAGTACCAGCTGTCCGAATTTTTTCTGTCACGCCACGTCAGTGAAGTGGTCACCGCGCTCCGGGTGAGCAGTCGATAAAGTCGCCGTGCCCGAAGCGATGGCACAGGGAGGGGCGGAAGTGCATGTGCACGGAAGGCGTGTGCCCCCTCAGACCGACCATCAATGACGCAATTGGAGGGAGGGGAGCGTGAAAAATCAAAAGGACTTGCTGAAGGTCGTATTAAGGACCCCGGATCGTACGGCTGGGCCCTCAAAGTCAAAGTGTTTGTCAGGGACCCAACATTGCCCAGGTGGTGGTTCTGAGTCGGTCAAGAAGGCACTTTCTGCACAGCGGCAGGGACGGGACCCCGAATGTCAGAAGGCATCTTGCGTTGGCCAGGGCCTCTGGCAATGAAAGGAGCCGCGATAACGCACGGTGAAAGTCCACAATGAGACAATGGGAGGGGCTCATAAACGAACGTGGGTGCTTTCCGCGCCATTTCGGCCAGGTAGCTAAAAAACGCATTAAACAGAGTCCCTGCGTTAGTTATTGAACACCATGTGCCGGTAAGGGATCGTCTTGCGTCAATGAGGACCCTGTGTCGATCCGGGCCAACTGCCCCGGTTAGAGCGCTTTCCGTGTCAGGGAGGGGATCAGCGTATGGTGTATCCGTATAATGGCTTAGAAGGACGAGGGGCCCCTCCCCTAGTGTCGTCAGAATGGAAGCAGGTAGGTATCGCGGGCTGAAACAAAAGGGTCCTTTAGCCACTGACCGGGAAAGATGGCGTTCTCTAACGTGCCTCTAGTGTTCTACGCAGGGTACTCCTTGCCCGGGAAAGGTAAGGGGGTGTCTTAACATTCGTGCAGGACATTCGTGCAGTCGTACCTCAAGTTTCAGTAGCCTATGGGGCATTCATTGCGCATGTCTTAAGACCACAGCCTCTTTACCTGTCTGGTTTCGGGGCAGCGTCGGTTTTTTGAGGAACACTGCACGGCGATCTAGGGCCTGCACTGGCAGCGGGTGGCAACCAGCGATGCCGCGGAACGCGCGCGACGGGACCACATTGTTACATGAACGGAGCCATGCATCATCAAGATATGGTCAAAAAGACTTGGAACTATACACCATTGTACTCAGAATTAAACAAAAACATGCCTATATGAGATTTGTGTAGCTACAAGGTGATACGTCACGATCGCAATAAAATCGCAATTTCGGGGAAAATTGACCTCTGACATGACATAATAGGATTAGTTTTTGACCTAGCCACATACAGGTGATTACCAATCGTGAGATATTGTTGATACTAATCCGCTGGTGTTTTGCTTTTTACTAGGCTATGACTGTATTAGTTTGAAAAAGCCAGAGGGTCGCCGTTCCCTATCGGTCCATGTTACGAGATTCAGCGAATCGGGGCGATGGCTAATGCTCAACAGGGTGGATCGAAATGGCGTAGAAAATTTGCATTGACACATGACCAGCCCATGTTTGCCTGAGCACGTGCATCCTCGTCAGAACTCATAACCTCTTCTGAAACTGTGTCTTTCTACAGCCGCTGCAGCGATTATATATGGGGGGGGGGAGGGGGGCGTCGTTCTGATCCGCTCATTTTATCAGCGACGACTTCTGACGCGGCATGTGCCCGTCAGAACACGCTGACAAACGTTCTGACGAAGACAGCCACCCTGCCACTGGCCAGGAAGTCTCTGGACAACAGTCTGACGGTGCTCATTGACAAGATACGCACCAACAGCTTCAGCAAGTCCATCCTGGAGAACGCGACCAGCAAAATCCTGCGCGACCTATACGAGGTGCCGAGGACCGGGGCCGCTCTGGCAACTGCTGACGATTGCCCGCGCTTGGCCAAAGCGCCGAGCCGTCGCTGGGAAAATGGAGTGATTGCAGCCTGTTCTTTGCCGGGTTTTACTGCCGATTGAACTAATTTGCATATTAAGTTTTGCCCTATCTATCTTAAACGACGCAGTTGTTGGCCGTGCTTTGGTATGCCACGGTCGCCGTTACGCACGCGTGATGCGTTGCGTTACACAGCCAACAGCTGATCGCCGGTAAGAGCTGGCCGTCTGACTCCGCCCTCTGTGTCGTGACGCAGTTTAACGTGACCGTGACGTCCGAGCTGGAGCTGTGGACCCAGCAGTCGCTGAACGAGCTGTCCGGCGCGCTGAGAACGCTGCTGGAGGCGCTGGAGCTGGTCCAGGCGGAGGCCAACGCCTTCCTGCGCCAGACCACCTCCGACCAGGAGTTCATCCAGTGGGTGGGCCGCGTCACCTCGGCAGCAGCTGCTGGCTGGAGATAGAATCTCCGTGGTCTGAATGGTTGCCTCTCGCGCTGATCCCGTGCAGTCAGCTGCTGCGCCATACCGGGACCAACCGATGGCCTGGCGACTGCATACGTGGCAGTGCTACACGGCCGTACTTCACCGTCTGGATATTTTGTCCTCATTGGCGATTCACTCAGCCACACTTGCCGCGTCGCTTCAGCCCCAATTGGCAATGTTGGTAGCCAAGTGCATTCTGTCTTGCCTCGAGTCGAAGTTTGAGCTGCATGTCGTCTTGCGACGCAGCGAGCACACGCTATGAACACGAACGCCGCATGTAGCTCAATGTGTGCCGCTCTGGTCTCAGGTCGAACTTTGTCGAGCTGAACGTGTTCTTCTCGGCGTTCACGGAGGAGCGCGTGGGGCAGCAGCGCGCCTACACCTTCACCAGTCTGCTGGCCGACATCGGCGGCTCCATGGGCCTGTTCGTCGGTGCCAGCCTGCTCACCTGTGTCGAGATGGCCGAATTTCTGGCCGCCTACCTGCTGCAGCTGGTGCATGGAGCCTGGAACCGCTGCAGGCACAGGTGAGAAAGCGTCTGGAGCAGCTGCATGCACAGTGAGGTAGCGTCTGGAGCAGCTGCAGGCACAGTGAGGTAGCGCCTGGAGCAGCTGCAGGCACAGTGAGGTAGCGTCTGGAGCAGCTGCAGCCACAGTAAGGTAGCGTCTGGAGCAGATGCAGCCACAGTTAGGTAGCGTCTGGAGCATCTGCAGGTACAGTGAGGTAGCGTTGGAGCAGCTGCAGCCACAGTTAGGTAGCGTCTGGAGCAGCTGCAGGCACAGTGAGGTAACGTTTGGAACAGCCTCAGTCACAAAGGTGGTGTCTAGGGCGGCTGCAGGAGTGACGAAGAAGAGCACGTGAGGGTGTCACGAGAACGGGACCGAGAAACGAATTGTCCATGCTCTTCATGTTGGAGACAGGGAGATGCATGGCATCGCGTATCATATCACCCTCCGTCCTGCTCCATGGAAGTGGAAAACCCGGAGTCCAGGTATCTCCCATAGCTATTTCGCCATGTTTGTGACCATGTCCAGCATTCGGCAACTTGACGCCAGGTACAGGGAGCGGAGTGTTACAAAAGAAGCCCGAAACATAGCGCTGTCTATGCTATTGATGGCCGGGGTCGATCCCCGTGATGTGCGGTGAGCTGTCACGAAGCGGTATGCCTTTTCAGGAAGCACGGCGAGAAGCCAGCACGCGTGTATCCAGACAAGTGCAGAATCGTAAAGACAACCATCACCGACGTCTGGATGACTTAGATGCTGGTGGCTAGATTCTGTTCACAGTTGTAGAGCTTGTTATAACCCCAGCATCTAACAGTCGTGGAGTTGTCACCGCACCGCTCCAAACATTGTTTTGGGATGTTAGAAGAATCGTCAGCGGTCGTAGGCATAAACTCGCCCTTGACTGTCGCTAGAAAACTCACGATGGGCACATTGGACAATAGATGTCCCGTGAGCACAAGACCCGAGGCAAACACCAATATGTGTTCTCAGCGTTTGCAACAGCCATCTCGTCGCTATGACTGTGGAAGCATGATTTATGCGTGCATGAGCGCCCGTCGCCAACTGCGGGATATACGTCAGATGGGGCACGCCCTAGGTAGCACGTGAGTACAGGCCTCCGTGTCACTGTCACTACCCCCTCCCCCCCCCTAAATAAACGTCACGCCGAAAGCCGAGTTTCCGCCTAAGCTCCTGTCCGGAGCCCCTATCCGTCGGTCCAGACCATCCCCGGCCAGAGCCGGAGTCGCGCAGCGCCACGTGCAGGCCCCCTCGAGGTTCAGCTGAGAGGCCGCGCGTGGAGTTGTGGAGTTTCCTCCCACGTTCTCGCTCTCTCCCCTCCGTTCGGCTGACAGGAATGTGTCGCAGCAGGGAGGAGGCCGGGAAGCGGGCAGGTGCGCCAACAGCGCTCCTTCACCGCATTGCGCGGGTGCTGCGGCCCCTGTCACGCGCCTGTCAGCGGCCACCGTCTCGCTGCATATCGGACCTCCAGTCAGCCCAAACGCCGACTGTAGGTCGTGCGCGCTGATAACGGTATGGCGTGCGGTCACCCGCCGTCGGCTAACCGAACACGCGTTCAAATGTCAGCCATCTCAACACCGCCAAGATACGATAGCTCTAATCTGTATTGACGCGGACTCCACACACAGTCGTCACAGCCACCACGGCCGTCACAGGCATCACAGCCGTGACAGCCGTGTCGGCCCACCGGCCGGGCCGGTCTGCAGCTAGTCGGGCCTCCACTCCTCGTCGCTGCCGTCCGTCGGGCCGCCGCTGGACTGGTCCGACGGCGAGCCGGCCCCGGCCCCGGCCCCGGCTCCGGCCCCCGGCCCCGGCCCCGGCCCGGCCCCGGCCCCGGCCCCGGCCCCGGCCCCGGCCCCGCACGATCTCCACCGTCAGCTGGTTGAGCCGGGTGCGCCGCCGCGGCCGGGGCGCCGCCGGAGAGACGGCGCGCCGGCGGCCGGGCAGCGGCGGCCCACTCTCGGGCCGCGGCGTCGTCGCCAGGCGCGTCTCCTCGGCAGAGAGCGGCGCCGGGTTCCGGTGGTAGGTCTCTCGATGCACCTGCGGCGGGGTGGAGCGTGTGGACGAGGCGCGGTAGGGCGCGCCGCTCGGGCACTATGTCCTCACTGGCACACACACCACCAAGGGTGCCAGACATCGATGCATTACACTTAATCTCGCGCGAAACTCTACGCGATATGGATAAAAATGAGGCAAATACGCGAGTACCCAAGCATAAAAATGAGGCAAATATAACGCTGAAAAAAATGCGATGCAGAGTAACAAAATGCACAAGGAAGTGTGATTTTAGGTAGCGGTAGTTAACCCTGTGTTAGAAACGAAACGACCGACGCAGGTTCGTCTTGACTACGGAACGTGCAATGACCCGTAACTAATGACTTCAAAGCATGCTTTCCCGAACAAGTTATTTACGCGAACGACGATGCGACCGGAACAGCGCGGCCACCCACCATCAAGTTCTTGAGGTTGATGGAGCGGCGGGGGCAGACGCCGCAGTAGACGCGCTGCTGGCCGTGCGACTTCATGTACCGCTCGAGGTAGGCACGCAGCGCGAACCGTTGTCCACACACCTCTCATACCTCGTCCCTGGCGGCTGGGGCGAGCCGGGCCAGCACTGGAGCGCGGGTGGAGGCGGGGTGCACCGCCGTGACGGAGCGGTCCGGGGCGGGGCGGCCCGCACCGCCCCAGAGCAAGCCCCTCCGCGCATTACGAGCTATGACGTCGGCGGACACGCAGCCACGGGCGAATCACACCACCAACGCACATTATCCGCTCTTTAGTACGTCCGGTGCGACTCAGGCCCGCCTGCAGCTGCATCACTGTCACATCACAGCTGCTGTCACAAGTGTCGCACCGGAAAAGCCGTTGTCGCACCTGTCGCCTGCTGAATAGACGCCAACTCGAAACAGATCTTCCTGTCAGCACATACAACATCCGGCGTTGGGCACCTGAATCATGACGTTGCGTGCGATTTAAATGACGACGCTAGTGAAAGCAGCACAGAGCCATGCTGGAGGCCGGGTGTGAGCGATGGTGTGTTTGCATTCTGTCACCAGCACATTTTCTGCATATTGCTCATTACTGAAGAACCTTCGGTTTACGTGGGGAAACGCCGCCATGTTGCTCTTGTTATTTTTAACGGCGAGTGATTGCGGGAGTGTCCGGTCGCTTTGTGGCACGCATGCTTTCTGTGTCGAACACATTCTTTATCTGCTTTATCATATTATCTGCTTTTCCGTTACTTGTATGGTTATGTTTGCTAGCAGAGTATCAGAAGTACAGTGGTTGAGCTGGGTATCTGGAGACTTGCAGAGTTGCGGGGTTCGATTACCCGCGGTGCCCGCCCTTTCTATCGGGATGAGAAAATCCCAATGTCATATGGGATATGTAATTTTCAAAGGAAATGTGTACAATGAAAGGTGAAGTCAGGAAGCGAGCGTAGGGGTATACTGTTTGTATTTAAATGCAACGTTTGCCTATTCACGAACGCACTAACAGGTAAATGAACGCAACCTTGTCTCCATGAAATAGAACCTTTACCTCGGTAAAACTATCTTGTAATTTGCAAATGTCTTGGGTCGACAGCATATCCTTCTTTGCCAAAGTTCCATGACGCATCTCCTTTCCAAATGAAAACGCTTGGATGCAATAGGGCGGACAATTTCGGAATCGGGCAAAGAACCGTTTTAACACGCGCTCACGTGGGGTGTCAAATAGACCCCCCACAAGGTTTTTCCAGATGGTTTTCGAACGGTGCGGCGTAGCCACGCCAAATTTGCGTAGGCTGTACACAATTGAATAGTGGATTGCTTGACATAAAAATTCAGATGTACCTTGTCAGGCCATTGACCTATGGCAGGCCAAACTCAAGCCATGGTTTCAGCGAACATAATTTTTAGGGAATCGTCAAATCTGTGTTTGTTCAAACGGATAGTATGACGAAGCTATGCATCTCAGAGATGCTTTCTTGGTCACCAAAAATATTGAATGAGCAAATTACGTTGACCTAGGTCAGGTATGAAGGTAAGACCAAGGTCAAACAAATCCGATTTATTGCGTTAGGGCTTGCTGCTATGGGATAGCTTGTGGTGCTCATTTCGAATTGTTGACAACAGAAACCGCATTATACATCTTCCATGGCCTTCTTAGTGGTCAGAACAGGTCATTGACCTAAGATGACCCGGGTTCGCACAAGGCGTGTTGTCTCCCCGATGTAGGAGGATCTATAACCAGGAGTACATATTTGACATGTGATCTGACAGATGGCGTTGCGCGTTGTGCACCTGCCCCAGAGTTATATGATTGGAAGGGTGTGTAGGAAGGCGAAAGCTCCATTGTAATTGATCAGTTGGTCGTGAAGCTGATGACTATATGAAAGCAATTAACATAATTAAGATAGGCGCCTCGGGCTGCCGGTCCGTGCGTCGACATACCGCGATAAAATGTCACTTATCACCACATAACGCGCTGGTTGTAGGCCTGCTTGAGTGGACCGAGGAACAACGATTCGGTTGCATTCATAGAATTGATGGCGGGTGGTCAGGATTCCCATACTTATCTCGCTCGTTTGATCATAGTAAATTTGCCGAAATCTGACGAAATCATTTTGTAGGACATGGGAAAACAGGGTTTGGCGTCATCGATCGTTACGCCAAAACTTTGAACATGATCAGCATGCTTATGGAAAAGCTCTATACAGGCACCCATGACCTCATTAGAGGTTTATTTCAATAGAGATTTGCGACGTCCATGCTGAAAGCAATAGACGGTGGTAGGAACCCCACATGAGAGCTCCCAGCTTGTCAATGATTCGGAAGTGTTGTGAGGTCTGCTTTGGTTTGTTTACCGGCTAGGTTTGTTGTGTTGCTGAGGAATTTTTGCAGCTTGTGTTACCCCCACCGTACTACTGTCCATCCAGCGTGTTTGTTTCGTATCCGAGGTTATTTGCCTAGTATGCACTCATCACTCGCCATGTCATCGTTCGTGTGTCGCTTCTGTGGCGTAGAGAAGCCTTTTCAGAGTTTAAACGTTTTTTGCAATCAGATTTTCCTGCGCGTAAAAACACGCTTTTTAGTTTGAGATTGCTTATATGAAAAATGGCATTGAGGGAACAACAGCGGTGAGTCGTCCCTTATGTTTTACCCTATGTAATGCATATAATGATACTTATTGTTAATGTTCCTTCTGTAATCAAGAAATGGGGGTTACTGAGTGCCAAAGTGGGTACGTTATAGTTATCGCTACTAAAGTTTTGCGTATTTTCGACGTCTTGGCCTCTGTGCCACCTGTTTTCAATCGTTTCCACACAACTTATACGAAGAATGTCCAGTTCCACTGACAAATTCTCTGTCTCCCTGCCACAGTCTAAGTATACTTCCCTCTCGGGCGTGCTGAAACCGACACCGCTATTGGACGAGCGTTGGTTCATGTCGTGGATTGTCACGAAACGTGAACCTGTCGAATGTTAAGACTGCACGACAATCCTCGCAACTGGCTGTTGTGCGCGTGGCTACAAATGTGCATAATAGACGAACGCGGGCTTCTATTTAGCTTTGATAAGTGACGCCAGAGTCAACAAATTCATTCACGAGTTGAGACTGTGGTAGAGGCATTATGCTATCACCAGGTGCTGCAGGTGGAACAAGTATAGAAAACAACAGAATGGCCAGCTTTTTAGAAAACAGGCTCAATTGGTTTGCGAAAATGGCAAAGTACAGGCAGGCTGGCTGGCGGCCGCAGAGTAGCTTGGCGCATTTTTATGCGGTCCCCGCGTTGGCAGCAACCCGGCGTATGGCTTACAACAGGGGTGTGCGGGGTGGGTATTCTGGGAGGACGGGCTGCCTGGAACAAGTCCCGTTTTCTGTACCTTTATCACTCGTATTCAGGTCACCTGCGTGCACCTAATGCTGTAATTCGGGGCTTGAGTGAAATATTTGAGTCATCTGCGCGGTGATCGAATATCTTCATCATACGCATTGGAGGCGATGCTATTAACTTCTGATGCCGATGTGATATGGGTGCAGGCCGGCGCCGCATTCACGCCCGGCCCTCCTGCGGGGAGAAGTGGGCCGTGCAGCCGG